TGATAATCAGAACTCATCCCTGCTTAGGAAAATTAACTGCTTAGATAACGTTGTTGAAGTGTAAAGGGTCTGCCTTCTGTTAGGATACAAGAGTTGCCGTTTCTTAAAATGTCAGTAAAATCTCAAGAAAGTCTTTTAATACACAAACCCAACAATGCTTGGGGAGAACCTAGGATGGGACGTTTGCACATAAGCAAGTGACCGTCTCTTCACTTATTTTTACACAAGCTCCACAGCCATGGACTTCAATAGCTGTTGCCTTTCCTCTTCCTGCAATTAATGACCTAGCAAAATGCCTGGGGTTCATTAAAGGCTAACTTTATAAAGCCCCGTAAATATTGATCCTTCGACATGACATCAACTTGACCCCAAAGATCTATTTAGAGGTTGTATGCTGCATTGTCTTGTCTTTCAGAAAGGTGATCAGCTCTTGCCTGCATTGATTTATACAATTAACTTCTCTTCCTGGCTTTGGCAGCCTGTTCAAACCATATCCACCCTTTTGTGTAAAGAAATACAGCCCGGAACGGTTACCTGCTAATCCCTTTGCTGAACATTAATTTGAAGTGAAAGCCATGTCGACAAGACTGGCAGATTTATAGCTTTGCAAACCCAAGCCTTCTACATGCTAAAAAGGTATCACCAAAGGGGCAATAAAAGACAAGACAAAACTAAACTAAAAGGGAACTCATAACACTTTCAACAAGTTACTTTTTAAGGATTAGCAGCCTATGGGTGGGTCCTCTACCTTCCATTCCCTCTGCCTATGTTTCCAAGTGATAGAGCCACAGCTGGGAGCTGGCAAGTGATACCCCTGTAACTTTACCTTGCCTTATGAGGATAACCTGTAGACGGCGTGATCTGCCAGAGAGATCCTCATGCTTTAGGTTTAAAGTAAATAGTAAATATGGTGATAAGAGCAGCCTGGGAGAGTGCTGCAGTCAGCGTAAACTTACACCCGGCACACGGGAGCTGCATGACTGTGCGTAAATGATACCACCTGCTGTACGAGATCAGAGTGGGCAAAAATCCAGTAAGAGGAACAAGTCAAAGTACCTTCCTTATAAACTGTAAGGTGCTCTTGAAAATTGAGTATTTCCTATGATGGTTTTGACATCTCTCTGTTCTAACCCTGAACTTGTTTTACCTTTCTGAGTAGCTATCCTCTTTCATACCTTTTGATAATATCATAAATGGATTTCTTACCCAGAAACCCCCTAGGGTGGTGCTAATCTTCCTTTAGCCCCTCCTATCTCCATGTTCTTTTTCTCTCTGTATGTTGATGAGGATTTTGTAACAATTTGTCAGTTATCGTATTGTTTAGTCCTTTTATCTTTAGTCTTAAGCCTTTCTTTTAGTTCTGTCAACTATTTCTAGTGAATCATTAAAATATAAGCTCTACAGGGGAAGAATCTTTTATGTTATTCACCGCTGAATAGAACCGCACCTAGTAGGATGCATGTGATCAATAAATATTTGCTGGAGACAATGACAACAAAAACTCATGCTGCATATGTCTGTGAACATTATGTCTGAAAAGAGAAAGCATGACATGGCCTTGTTGGCAACAGATTTAAAGGTCTTATTTACATACAGGTCACCATCTAGGAATCCTTGAACAGGACTCGCCAAAGCTATATTCCCTCTAATCGTGCCTCAACTGTTAACTAGTTGTCAAGAAAGAATTTGTAGTTAGTAATGGAAATTTCGTGTACTCCTTTAAATTTCTATGTATTTCGGGGCGACTGGGTGGCTCAGTCGGTTAAGCGGCCGACTTCAGCTCAGGTCACGATCTCACGGTCCGTGAGTTCGAGCCCCGCGTCGGGCTCTGGGCTGATGGCTCGGAGCCTGGAGCCTGCTTCCGATTCTGTGTCTCCCTCTCTCTCTGCCCCTCCCCCGTTCATGCTCTGTCTCTCTCTGTCTCAAAAATAAATAAAACGTTAAAAAAAATTTTTTTAAATAAAAAATAAATTTCTATCTATTTCTTATTTGTCAAAGCCTAGACCCCTTTCTTAGCTCCAATTCCTGATCTGAAATGTCACCGAGTACCTGATGTGATGCATTTTTATGCAAAGGCATGCGATTTGGTTCTGTCTCCCAGGTGCTTACCATCTAGTTAGGGAGACAGGGTGTGAATCAGAAGAGAGAAACATGGGGGCGCCTGGGTGGCGCAGTCGGTTAAGCGTCCGACTTCAGCCAGGTCACGATCTCGCGGTCCGTGAGTTCGAGCCCCGCGTCAGGCTCTGGGCTGATGGCTCAGATTCCATCTGTTTCCGATTCTGTTTCCGATTCTGTGTCTCCCTCTCTCTCTGCCCCTCCCCCGTTCATGCTCTGTCTCTCTCTGTCCCAAAAATAAATAAACGTTGAAGAAGAGAGAAACATGGATGACACGGGTGTGTCCACCTCGTGAAAAGTTACTGACTTACTCTGTGATCTAGGTACTTTTCTGTAGTATGTCCTGCTTCAATGAAAAAGTTTACCAAAGACAACAAAGGTGGCAAAGGTTAAGTGTGAGAGGGGAGATACAGGCCATCAGTAAATGCATCAAGGCAAGAAAACAATGGGCGCTGAGGTTGGGCACCTAGGACAGCCATCTAGAGGAGACGGGAACTGAGCTGGGGCTTGCAGCAAGTATAAGACTCAGAAAACAGAAGGAGGAGATTAGCATGAAGGCAGAAATGGGCATGGGCAGCAGGGTCAAGCAGACCAGGTTAGGTGTTTGGAGGGTCCCTGAAAAATCATAGTGAGAAAGACTAAGTCGAGAGACATAGGACGGTGAATCACATTAAGGGACCCTGAGGGTCTGGTTCAGAAGTCAGACTCCATTCTAGATGGTGGGGAACCACTGAAGGTCTCTGAGCAGGTTGGTGGCCCAACATGAAACCCTGTTTTAGGGAAATTGATCTGGGTGTGGTATATTGTGCCGAATGGACGAGGGAACAAGACAAAGTAAAGGAAACCAGGGCAGCAGCTCAGTCATGACAGAGATTAGTAGTTGCATGACTGGAAAGACTGGAGCAGAGATACTCTGCTCTGAATGAAACACAGAAAAGACTCAGTGACTTTCTGGAGATGGGGGAGTCAGGAAAAGGAGATAAGAAAAATCCTGGATGACAGAGTAAATATGAGGGTACCATGGACAGTAACAGAGCATTTCTGAGAGGGGGCTATCTTATGGGGAAAAACAAAAATTTCAGGTCTGTTTACACACTCATGGCCGTTTCTTTGGCAACATGTGTCCCAAGCCCCACTCCAACCTTAAGTTTTCCCGTTTTGCTCGGAGTATATATGTATTCACAACATGAAATCTGTAGCACAGTTAAATGGAAGCATATCACCCTTAAAAACTTTACAACTGTCTATTGTTTTAGTGACTAGTAGTTCTTTTTTTTTTTAATTTTTTTTTTCAACGTTTATTTATTTTTGGGACAGAGAGAGACAGAGCATGAACGGGCGAGGGGCAGAGAGAGAGGGAGACACAGAATCGGAAACAGGCTCCAGGCTCTGAGCCATCAGCCCAGAGCCCGACGCGGGGCTTGAACTCACGGACCGCGAGATCGTGACCTGGCTGAAGTCGGACGCTTAACCGACTGCGCCACCCAGGCGCCCCAGTAGTTCTTTATACAGTAGAGAAGTAAACCCTTTTGTCTATGGTATGAATTGCAAATATATCCCCCCTTCCTTTGTCATTTGTCTTTTGACTTCCCTTATGGTGGTTTTTACCAGGTCCATCTAAATTTTTATGAACTCAAATGTATTGTAACAGGAGATTCTTTTTTTTTTTTAAAGTAGGCTTCAGGCCCAATGCGGAGCCCAACGCGGGGCTTGAACTCATAACCCTGAACTGATCAAGACCTGAACTGAGATCAAGAGTTGGATGCTTAACCAACTGAGCCACCCAGGTGCCCCCAAAATAGGAGATTTTTTTAACAAAGTTACCAATGCCGGTATTATTAAATGTCTATTAAAAAATCAGAGTGAACAGTACATATGTATTGACAACACTAATAAAATAAAGATTGTTACTGGCCAACTTACTGGGCAAGTATGTGTGCCAGGCATTATGCTTTGGGCTTCATGAGGCCATCTGACTGGATCCTCAAAACCCCAAGGAGCAGATACTAATTATTAGTTCCCATGTTATAGCTGAACTTGAAGTTTAAAAGGCTTAAGTAACTTGCCCACAGGTACATGGCCAGTAAAGGGTGCAAAAGTGAGATTCATAAAGCTGGAAAAGAAAAAGAAAGGCAAATGGAGATGTAAGCCTAGGCAGCCTAACTTCTGGAACCTGGGCTCCTGTACCCCTGCACCCCCAGCCCCTTTCTGTGGGTGGTGCCCCTTCCAACACCCCAGCTCAAGCCCCAGTGAGGGCACCCCAGCCAGTCACGCTGAGGTGACTGAAATGAGCACATTCTTTCACCTGCTACTCCTACTTTCCTTGCCACCTTTGTATCCGGAACCTGCTGTGGGATTGCTCTAGTTCAGCTGGAAGAATTCTACTGGAATTCTGGATGAACATAAGCACAAGTGGCTCTATTTAATTAGGTATCTGAGACAGGAAAGAGGAAAGAGCTTAAACTCAAAAAAATTCTCTCTAGCCTAAAGTAGTTCAGGAAGAGCAAAGCAGTCTATTGTTTGGGAAATAAAAGACCTAACAGGAAAAATTTAAATTAAAAAAGAATCATGTTGAGGTATTTAAATCATGCTGAGTTTTTTCTCCTCACTGTTGTTTTATAACAACTCCCTTGGGAATTTTGAAACCTAAGCCACTTTCTTTCTGAAAACATCTCTGACACACACTCACACAGAGCCCTGTTGTGCTGGAAGCCAGCATTTTAAAAAAAGCCTGCTGTACAGGAACATAACGATAAACAGCTACACAAAACTACAAATATTTGATAAGGAAATAAAATTAGAATTTAAGACTTCAAACATTCGTGACACTATTTGTAATTAATAAGTACCAAACTGGACAATTTAAGAAGAAAAACGTAAATCTAAGTAAGTATAAATACAACATTTGAAAACTGTTGTGCACGCAGCTGCTATCCTTCACCGAATACTCCCAGTATCTTTAGAAAAGTGAACAAACCTTTCCTTTCACCAAGTAAAGACAGAAGTGTGGATTATCAAGATGAAACATTTTTGCTCTGTTAAAAAGTAAACAAATAAAAGCAGGCCCCAAATGGAGTCACCTATGCTAAGCCCGATGCCAGCAAAGACTTAATAACTAACCTCACTACAGTTTCAGCCTCTCCCAGGAATGTGACCTTTCACCAATCTGGAATTACCTGGTAAGTACTGGCGAGGTCATCTGCTTGACAGACCCCTGCCTTCACCCTAAAGGAAGGTGACCTTGCCTGAAACAAACCATTCTTTGCTAGAAACTGCTTTTTCGCACCCAACTCCCTTCTTCCAATAAAAGCCTTCCATTTTGTACGTCTCCTTGGAGCTCCTTTTTATCTGCAAGGATATATTGCTGCCGGATTCATGAATCATTTAATAAAGTCAATCAGATCTTTAAATGTACTCAGTTGAATTTTGTTTTTTTAATAGGTCAAAGCCAAGGCTTCCATGACAGATAAAATCCAACCATCCTGCTTTCCTCTGTTCACATGATCTGTGAAGCCTATCATTTCTTAGTTTGTACATGTTTGTTTCCTAGAGAGAACACAGAGAGAATTATTGATTTCTAGTAATGTCGTGGTATACACTGAAAGAAAACAAACAGCAAGATTTAAAGGCTAACTGTGGTCATTTTTCCTTGCATTCCTTTCAGACCTACTTCTCCCTTCCTAGGACCTGTGACACAACCACGAAAGACCAGAAATAACTCCATGTGTGACTAGGCTGCAAGATGAGACTAAAAGTCTCAGACACAGGTGGGAAGAGGGTGGAAAGGGGCCTTCTATCTGTGACCTCAAGCCACAGAACTGAATGAACGGCCGATCCTCAACAGCACAATGACAGATCTGTTGGGGACCTCTGCCCAACTGGCTTCCCAAATGAGGCTTGTTCCCTCTCTTCCATCTTAGACAGAGTAGTGGCCTCCTCTCTCCAAAGATCTCTCTTTTACGGAAATCCAATTCTTGTGCTGAGAGGCCCCAGGGAACTATATGCTGTCCAACATGACTACACTGTGAGGAAATTCAGTTTTGAAGTCCAAAATAAAGATCCAACGTATAGAAGTCCTGTGAAATGTATACTCATTCCTGGTAGATGTGAGTTAAACTAACCCTTAGAATATAAAGAAAGTAGTGCAACAGAAAATAAGTACTGGTGTTCAGTTAATGCAAGTATGTAGAAGGATGTGCCGGGTCCCATTTCTCCAGAAGAAGGGATGTTTCCTATTGTTTTCATGTATAGCAATCAGACTTTTGAGACCCAAAGTAAACAGCAACGTCAAGAGCATGATACTCTGAGGTTTTCCCCAGTGTTTTTCTTCCATAATCTGTTTTACCAAGTTCTACTTTTTTTACAATTACCCCGTTTTCAGATAAGAGTAACAGTAATAACACTATTTTGTACTTAATAACAATGCTTACCCACCTGCCTCCCTAGCAGGGAGGATGGTATGAGCATGAATGGAAGATAGTCTGACAAGCACTTGGGGTTCTGTAGGAAGGCAATCCCAGCATGAAGCCTTGCTGTGGTTAAATCACACCTTTCCTCTAAGGATCTAAAAGTATCTCAATAAGCCCAGCTCGTTAACCCTTCAAAAAACTGCTGTGATGTAAACCAGAGCTGAGCTTTATTAGCTCCATTTATTTTTTTTATTTTTTATTTTTTAAATTTTTTTTTTCAACGTTTATTTTTATTTTTGGGACAGAGAGAGACAGAGCATGAACGGGGGAGGGGCAGAGAGAGAGGGAGACACAGAATTGGAAACAGGCTCCAGGCTCTGAGCCATCAGCCCAGAGCCTGACGCGGGGCTCGAACTCATGGACCGCGAGATCATGACCTGGCTGAAGTCGGACGCTTAACCGACTGCGCCACCCAGGCGCCCCGTATTAGCTCCATTTAAAAGAAAGGAACCAGATAGGCCAGAACCACTAACACTGGGATATAAATTTAAGAGACCCCAGGACCAGGCCCAGAACACAGGCCAGTAGAAGGCCACACCCACAAGCCAGTGTGTTTTGAGGGCCACGGTTCGAATAACAAATCTGTGCCAAAGAATGCCAAGTGGAGAAGTGCCATCCTTGGGCTACGTGCGTGAATCAGACTGCAAAGAAAGTGTTCACGTGGCTCTGTGGCCAAGAATGAGAAACAATGATGTGAAAAACGATCAGCACGGCCCCTGGCAGATCCTCTCTGAAAAGCAACAGAACAAATAACGGTATATGTCAGAAATGCTCTTCATGAAATTGGCCTGCACGTCCAAGAGGAAGGCTTTAGGTAGTAGACAGAAAGTAATGGGCACCGGACCGAAAATATAATAGGTCTGAAGAATATCACAGCTCTGCATAGGTCACAGTACTAATCTCACTTAGAATTAGGATCACAAATAAAGGTTTTTTCCCCACAAATAAGCTTTATTTCAAAGTTTTGTTAAAATTCCCCTCACCTAAGGAAAAAAAAAAAAAGATTCTGGATCTCTGCCCAGGTAGCATGCAATTCAAATTCTCAAGCCTTTCGGTACTTTACATTTTTCTTCTGGCTACATGCGACATTACTTCTGAAGCGAGTAAATGTGGGAGATAGGAGACAAGAAGGAAAACGGAGATCCAATGCATCCAGGGGTCAAAAAAAAAAAAAAAAGCCTCCCATCTACTTTTAAAATACTCATAAAGACTGTACTCCTATGGATTCTTCCTAAATATCACAAAAGAACACAACCGAGCCTATTCATACTAAGCCTTGTTCCTCTACACACAGACAAAACACAAATTGGTCTGAAAACCAGAGACAGAAACTTCTTTTCTATTGAGAGAGAGGTCAAAATGGTTCTTAGGGCAGACTAATGCTTTCCTGTCAATGACCACATAGCCACTCTTTCCCCCAATTTCTCCATCTTTAAACAGCGACAATGCTTTACAAGGATGTGCTGTACTACAGCAAGATCAATTATGAGATGGAATTTTGAGCTCTGATTACGATCATCACTCACTGACTATAACCATTAATCCATCATCATAGGAACCAAAGAGCAGAGTTTCCTTTAAAGAAAAAAATGAAAAGGTTCAGTAGGAACTGTGACAACTTACAGCCTCTGCAGTCATCATCTGGTCTCACAGGGCTGTAGTATTTTTAAAGACTGGAATAGGGACACTGCCTTCAGAATAAACAGACTGGAATAGGAACACCTACTTCAGAATAAAAGATAGAGTGGCCGGCAGGTACTTATTTTCCTAGAATCATCTCCAAATACAGCCCTAACTCTGCCCAAAATGCCACTTTTAATGTCCGAAACCACAAACTGCAGTGAATCAAATGGTGAGAGGGCCAATAATAATAGCTAATAATAGCCAATACAGAGAGGACATAATGTACTTCCAGAAGGCCTGGGACACCGCAGCCCCAGGGAGCAAGGTGAAGGCCAGTCTGTGGGAGGAGGTCCCGATAACATCAGTGCCTGCATCAGGACCGCGGCAAGAAGGCTGTGAATCAGTGGAGTAGCTCTTCTACCATCGGCACGTCACTCCTGCTTCTGCACACATCCGTTAAAGGAGCACCAAGAGCCAGCACATCACCAGAGCACAAGTCCCATCTCCAGTGACCGAAAGGGCTCCTTACACGGAATGGGAACGTGAACGTAAACGTGAACGTGAACGTGAGAGTCCTTCGTTCACTCTGCTCTCCCGGACCACCTGCCTGTCTTAGCCGCAGTGAGCATGAGGGATGTTAACAGCATGACCCGAGGAGGCACCAGGCAGAAGCCAGCCAGACACAGCCATGGAATAAAGGCTTCAAAACTTCCCTCAAATCATCACTCAGGGTTGCACTTTTGGATGTTTGGCCTGAGCCTCACTGCTGACATAAGGATTATCAAGTTTAGTTTAAGACTCTGCTGGTAAGGCCAAATGACCTATTAGAGAGTGAATTAAAACAGCCACACACAAACAGGATGCCAGGCAGTTCTGCTGAGCACCTCAATACTCAAAATGCCAAGGGACTTCCCCTCCCTGCCGGGCTGTTCAATTTTAAAAAGCAGCAGGAAAAAAATGCGGGGTGGAGGTAGAAGGAAGGAAGAGGGAGGAGGCCATGCTGCCAGGGCTGCAGAGTCTGGACCAACCCTGCACGCAAAAGCACGCTCTGCCCTGGTTCCACAGCAGCAGGTAGAATTACCATCAGAGATGGGCAGCTGGGAGTTCGTTCGGCTACAAAATCTATTCCAGAGAAGGCGTTGCCTCAGGGCATGGATATTACTGCCTCAGCAGGGCAAAACTGCCGCTGGTGGCTCCTGGCTAGCAGAGGCTCTTCCAGGCCCCCGGGAGGTGGCTTTTCAGAATGAATGTAGCTAATATTTCTGCAGATAAATTCTTGCCCTCGGAAGAAGGCCTCTTCACGGTCACTCAAATATGTCACCTCTCTTATTTTCAGTTTGGTAATCATCCCTCAGATATTATTTGTAATTATCCCTCAAACAAACAAATGCAACAGAAGTGTTTGATCTCTCTGTATTATATATCAGACAGGAGGTGCAAGTCGGCAGAAAGAAATCCCTGAAAGGGAGCACAGGGGCAGCAGCAGAGATGGTTTCTTCTTGGCCTGCGTGTCTCTAGGCAAGTGGCGTTAGGGAGGCTGGGCATAAAGGGGCTGACTCCTGTGCCGAGCAACACATTCAGAAAAAGAACAACGTGAGAGGGGAGAAAACAAGGTCATCAGGCTCCGTCCACTCTGTTCCAACTTTTCCAAAGTGAGAGCAGCATCCAGAAGCTGAGCGAATCAGATGGCCCTCAGCAACATCAGACGGTGGCAAGAGTATAAATATGTACAAATAACAGTTGTCCAAATAATAGCTGAGGTTGTAGTGGTTCCCGGGAAGATGAGACAGAGGTTGCCACATGTTATCCTGGATTTTCAACTAAGTCATCTTATTACACAGGGAGGCATGAAATACTTCGTCCTCTGGCAGAACCACAGCCCCAGCAGCACCAATGCGGCATTATGTATTATGACACACACTTAGTTGTCCATAACTCAGTTCAGACGGCCTCCTTCCCCTCTGCAAAGGGCTATACCTCAAATAAGCAAAAGGCCTCGGAAGCCCTGCCACACTTCAGGAGTTAGGAGAACAAGACCTCTATAATTTAAGAAAATGGTGTCAATGTTTTAATCCACAACTGAGAGGGTCAACTCTGAATTGGTGTTTTGGCTGATTTACATCCTGTGTTTTCACTTTTAACTTGTAATAACGTTCACATTTGAGCATGAATTGGAAAACTGTTTCATCCTTGGGATATGGGAAAGAGGACATTGTTTCTTAATTAGTCATCAACTTAATATGTTTCCTGGCATAGTGGACTTCACTCTTGTTTCTTTGATCTGTTCGCACCAGTGTCCTTTAACATTTGGAATAACACTTAGGTATTGTTGGCACCAAGCCACCCAATCTAACATGGTCTTTAAACAATAGGCTGCTCCAGAGAAGACAGTGCCCTGTCACCATCTCTGGGTACAGATCTATATTTGGCTACTGGCTTGTCTACACTGTAGGT